TTATATAGGCTTGTATTCCCGTATTCCCTACTAAGAACCAGTAAGTTGAGGAGCCTAGGGTAGATGTTCAAGGCATTCATTCCACTTACAAATTCAGGATGGAGGAGCTTAAAGCGTCTAGGGCTTCACTTGGAGGTTGATAATCGAACTTGATTCGTTTGCTGTTGTAGCGCAAGATTTGGAGTAATCCAGATCAGAGTGCTTAACCCCATCTGGAAGCTTTTTCATGTTAGATAGCCGGTTGCGCAGTCTACGGCACGAAAGTCAGAATACCCCAACGTACACAGTCAGGACCCTCATATGACTATAGTGAGGACAAATCCTTCGGCCCCAAGATATTTTTATTATATAAGAAGTGCCAACGCTCATCCCTCAATCCATTGGAGGTAGCCCAGCACCTTGGAGAGAACATGGTGCGCACCATCGCCATGGACGGCACAGATGGGCTGACCCGAGGTCGACTTTTCTTTGGCGCGTAGGTTTACAAGTTCAGTACAGGTTCAAGAGATTTGGACTTAGACAGTCCCGGGCCGTTGTTAGAACACAATTTTATGGTTTCCTATATTCTTCCTTAGTATCTATACTCTACCTCAATCAGGAACATAAAGGCAAAACAATGGATAGTTTGCCAAGTTTGCCGATCAGAAACCATGGCTAAGAGTTGCTTGGGCTAGGGGTATAGCCAAAACGGGCAAGAATAGACCCTGGTTGTACTCCTTGCTTGGCTAGGCATGGGAATCTGCCAGGTGTCAACATGACCCTAACGCCTAAAACCTAAACCCTAAACCCTCATTTGGGATGGCTGCATAGCGTTCAGCCAGGGCTCCGTCCTTGAACTTGCAAGGTCTTACCCTGCAAGGTTCTCCCCAATCTAATTAGCCGACAAGCTTTCATAACCTTTCGTCAGGTCCTGCCACAAGCCCAGTAGCAGCGCAACGATCTACGGTTTTGTTTGGGCAGTTGGCTTATATGGTTGAAGGCGTTGTTGCTCGGAGCTGTCTTTACATCGCGCGTCTTCTAGCCCGAATGCGTGGGGAAGGGTCCTCAGAAGTAAAGGGTCCTGTAGCGCCATGACTTCAGACTCAGAAGCCTAAGCTCTAGTGACCTAGTGCCTGACCCTACAAACCCTGAAGTCTAAACCCGAAGCCCTGATCCCCACACTCAGAAAATCCCTAAATGAGTAGTATTGTATTTGGGGATACTATGGTACCCAACATTGAGTAAGATTATATCCTCCTTTTGGGGTATAGTATTTCATATAAAGAAGATAATCTTACTAGTTTCAACCACCAAAAAACACTACTCAAATTACCTTGTCAACCCGAAGGTCAGTTGGTAGAAGACACTGGTGCCCCTATCACCGTGCCCGTGGGCGAGCAGACGTCACGAGATTAAACTTGGAAGCTTCCCACTTTGGAGTTGACAGGTAGTTATGAAGATTTGGGGTCCTCTGTGTCTGGGTTACAGCTGCAGCTTCAGGGGGTTTATTTTATTGTGGCAACTGTTTCAGGTGGTTTATGGATTCTAGCTGCATTTTTAGGAGGTAGGCAGGGGTTGCTATCAGGGATTGCAATCTAAGCCCTAAACCCTAAACCCTAAACCCTAAACCCTAAACCCTAAGGTCCTACATCTGAGCGCTAAGAATAGGCATCTGAGGACCACTGGGCTCAAGGCCGCCCATACTCGGAAGCCGTAGTTCCAACCTTAGAGCTACAGCTCAAGGGTTTAGTGGTTTAGGGTTTAGGGTTGTTATCAACAGCTTAGGGGCTGGAAGAAGTCGGTCTTGGGTTATGTAGCTGGATCTACTTCTCGTCGCGGGCTCGTTTGAAGAGGGGATGAGATGAGTTCGCGTTAAAAACAGGCAATAAAGAGTCTCAGAGAGTTAAGGGGCTTCACGAGGTTTGTGAGACTAATTGGGACCTGTTTTTTTTGTTTTTTCCGAAAGAGGTTGGAGGGGATAAGTGGCACGTAGGCTAGAGAGTGATCTGAGAGTTGTGTCAACTGCTTTGTTCTCGTGTCCTGGATAACACATCCACATGTTTGTGACGTTGTAGAAGCCTGTAACTGGGAATCATATCCATAATATGGTCCTCATATGAGCTACAGTTTAACCTCCTAGTATGCCCCTTAATAACCCCTATAATACTCTCCGATATATTCCCCTGTATAATCCCCTTCAAGGAGTTTAGACTATAGCTCATATGTATTCCGCTTCATCATGTTTGAGGCCCCAGTTCTTGGACATTTTGATGGCGGTAAGGACATGCCGACATGCGGAAGATGAGGGACATGGCCAGGCATTTTTGTTGAACCATAAAAAGTGTATTCAACCCAACTACCGCAGCATCGCATTGTTCATGAAAGCTTTGGGTATCTCCTTGCCTCCTTGTACGAAAACCTTGTTCAAACCGTGATGAACCAAAAACCACCTTCTGGAAGCTTTACACGAGTACAAGTTGGGTTAATCGAAAAAATGGAAGCTACTAGAACGGAGAATTAGACGGAGACTGAAATCAAAATTGGGAGTATGTAGGGGCTAATAGTGCATTGAGCTACTGTCAGTACTTTTTAAGGGACGCTAAACAGTAGGCAAAGGGGTCCCTTTTGTAGTTTAGTATATTCCCTAACATATATAATATGTATGGGTTCTAAGGAGATTCTTCGGCCCCTTACTCGAGGATTCACGCAGGGGTACCTCTTAGCAGAACCACCCCAAATCCTGTGGAAGGAAAGAGAGCATCAGCCCAACCGGCAAGTCAAATCTAAACCAGTGTATCCCTATTGTTTCCATTTGTTTTTCTTGTAAGTTTTCTTGCCCTACTGGGACACCTAGACCCTTGAACCCTAAACCTTAAGCTCTTCAAACCCTAAAGCCTTTAAACCCTGAATCCTTCAAACTCTAAACCCTAGACCCGTTTGACACGAAGCCCTTTAAGCTCTTTAAACCCTAGACCATTTAAACCCTAACCGTTTCAATCCTAAACCCTGAACCCTAAACCCTGAACCCTAAACCCTAAACCCTGAAGCCTGAACCCTGAACCCTACACCCTGAACCCTAAACCTAAACCCTAACCCCTAAACCCGAAACCTCGACTCCCCAAGGTTGGGTCGCATCATCAATATCATTGGGGAGCCCATTGATGAGCTTGGCCCTATTGATACCAAGAAGCCCTTCGGATGACGTAGAGTTTCAGGGCTTTGGGGTTTTGGGGGTTAGGGTTTAGGGATTTAGGGTGTAGAGTTTCAGGGATTTAGGGTTTCCAGTCCTCGTCCTAGAAGGCCAAAGTAACCAAATCCTCTTCGATCCCCAGGGATCTCATCATTTGGACTTTTTGGAGTTTTGGGCTTAGACGAGGAGGGCTTTCCTTTGTCAACTTCCATGCTCATACTTTAGGAGGACCCCCCAACCCTGTAGTAGTGGTATAATAGGAATATAAGAGGCCCCTAATATACTCCTTATTCTCCTTTATAGTCACTATTACAGGGTGGGGGGTCCACCTAACTCATACTTCGAGCCCTTGACGCTCCCAGAACCTTAGCATGTATGAGACAGATTCAACCCAAGCTTTCAAGTCGATCTTTGAAACAGAAGGGGTCCTTCCTTGTTGCCCAACCCCAAAACACCACAATCCTGGTCAAAGGGACTTCCGCACAGGGACCCCCAAGATATGAAAATCCCCATATCCTAGAGCTGCAAGATCGTGTCGGAAGATTTGGTTATTGGTGGCTAGCATCTGCGGCTGCAGTAGAGCAAGCACTTCGCAGGAACGCTGACAAATTAAGACCAGATTAACATGTAGCCGCTCATTATCTTGCTATTGCACAAGAGAAGTTACACAGACACATGTATTGATGTGGCCTGCTCAGCATTCTATTCAGATAGAACTGCATCTTCTTGTTGGTATGGACATACGTAAATACATGCACAACTCTTACATCAATAGAGCCATAGCTCCGTGATATGCCTAGCTAAAGCTGGCTTGCAGCATCTCGATCAGCTGTAAGAGGTCCATATTGCATGTTGCGTGTGTTCTGCAACAGGCTTTGTTATGTACACATCGCTGCTTTTGTGCAGGGTAGCGCTGGTCTCTCTCGATTTTATATACCTTTCTTTATTGGCGACCTCCGATGAGGTCAAGTCGAATAAAGACAAACCCAAGAAGCCTGGTAAGAACAAATGGGAGAACCCTAAGCCCTTCACCCCTAAGCCCTGCAAATCCCTGATTCGGCTGTGTTGCTCAGGTTCTACGCCATCCACAGGCCAGCCTTTTGCCAGGGCAATTCTCTTCTGGGGGAGGGTGGTGACATATTTCAATCAGGTGGGGAGCCCAACTTGTAATCAGGAAATATCTTGTAGTCTCTTCTACGTCACGTAGTATGGCCATCTAGATCAGCCATGAACTGTTGTGCAAAGGGGTGCGGAAGGAGAGTGGTCTAACAGGCCATTTGCGTGATTACACTCAGCGATGTTCCAGCAAAACTCGTTGCGGAGTTTGGCTTTCCAGGAAGCCCAATACCATCCGATACCTTATTGAACCCAATACCCGCCCTCATTTTGTTCACAGCATTCGGAAGACCCCGTTATGAAGAAATTCACATTGCCTCGGCAAAGCCCCAAAACTTTTTCTCCACATCCTTGCAAGGTTTAGGGCTATAATAAAAGGATGGTACAGGGAGTATGTAGGATTTGGGTCATTTGCCCTGCTAATATGATAAGGAAGGAGCTGGACAAGAAAAGAGCAATGACATGGAAACTCGGATTATATGCTGGTTTAATGGGCTTGGCGAATGTGAGGTAGGGTTTTTTTAATGGCTATAGAGTTCCCTAGGAACATTGGCGGCTGGATATATTTGGTGTGGACCTGGGGTGACCACAGATTGAAATCATACCCTGTGTAAGTCTAAAGAGCTCCAAACCCCTGGAAAGCTCCAGATGTTTGTTAGACAGATAACGACCTCTTTTCCGATAGTGCCTACCGAATTCCCCCTCACAAACCCTAAGCCCCTCGACGCCCCTGAATTCCGAACTATTCAACACTCCCAAACAGCCCGTAACGCCTACTGCCATTCCGCTGGACTGTCAGCCGCCAGGCCCACGCCAACCTTCACCGAGATGAACACCACGGCCCAGCAGCTTCTGACGGGTATCAAGGTGGTCGATTTGCCTCTCGCCATCAACTGAGGCAAAGTTGAATCTCGTAGTTTCGTTTTACCACATCCCAATGATGAATGTAAACCATTGCAAACCTAAATTGTTCAAAGTAAACCCATGTGGGAACAACCACTGCTAGGGCTGAAATTAAGAACCCGTGATTGTGAGCTGAGGGTTCGGGAGCTTTCGGCAATCACCTCCTCCCCTACCAACTCCCACCGCACTAATCTGAGATATTCCGATTGCCGCAACAAAAAGTAGGGAAATCTACATTATGGGGTGTTGGGGTTTAAACATAAGGGTGAGGGGATACCCAGAGAGTCCAATACCCCTTAGGCAAGGAATATACCTTAAATGGTACAGCATCCCTTATATGACTTAAGAGATATTCCTTAATCAAGGGGTATTGGGCTCCCTGGGTACTGTACCCTAAACCCTTAACCGCTTATTCGTGCACAGCCCTAGGCCCAAACATGTGTCGGACTTCAGGGCCAAAAGGAGACAGAGAGCTGGTGTCCCCTCCCCCTAATATTAAACCCCCACAACCTCGATGGTTTAGGGCCCCCCACCCCCTAATATCAAATACTCCCATAATGTGGTATATTATAATATGCTGTGAGTATTCAATATTAGAGGTGTGGGGGGGGTTTAATATGGGGAGAGAATTGCCGTCCCCAAAGTAACATGGAACTCCGAAACGGGCCCTAGATCGGCTACCTTAAATTGGATTGTTATGAGGGCTTCAATGTTAGTTTGGGAGACGGTAAAAGCTTGAAGTTGTCGACATCATCAACGAGGGCTCGGCTTTAGCACAAAGAGGGGCTGAAGCGGCAACATCTCTCTTAGTCTAAAACCAATTCTTTAGAGCCTCAATCAGTTCCTGTAGTGTTTAGCGAAAACAGCTTTATTTGGGGGTCAACCTAAGGGATAACTCTCAAACTTGTGAGCTGCGCTGTATCACGGAGAGGGCCTTGACTAATCCTCAGGGAGTAGTATGAGGTTAGGGTTTAGGGTGTAGGGATATAGTCCCCCTTTAAGCAGATAGAATATGGAATTGGCCTATATTTGAGGAATCTCCGCGTATATCACGCTTTCTTTCTACTAAAGGTGGACTATGTCTTGTGCAAGCATCATAGGGCTAATCCAGGTTCAGGCTCTTTAGTTTGGAATTGCGCAACGCTGGGGTGTAGGGTAGAGGTTTAGCGTATAGGCTTGAAGATCTTGCCAAAGGGACTTTTTTAAAAGTTTCACATGTCTAGCTGGCGAGTGCGGGAAATCAACCATGAGTTTCCCCTCCATGCCCTATTATCTTGCATTTCCAAAAAGATGTTACCTTTCATGGTTTCCTTATGCTCCTTAAGATATTCCAACCCCCTCATAGGGGCTGGAAACCTCGTATGGTATGGTGCTGTTTCCAAGGTTGGCGCCGTATGCCAAAGGAGGACCCGCCGTGTCGCCGTGCGCTACTGTAGAGCCTTTACAAAGAATCATGAAGAGGGGTTATATCGGGTGTAAGGCTTCGGGCTTAGGATGGGCTTAGGATTCCCTCAGATGTAACCTAAACCCTAAACCCAATAATAATGGAGAATCAAATGGAAAAGCCAATGAAAAATAACATGCATTTTGTGCTTGCGTGGGAGCTAGGGATGTGGCAAGCTGACTGATTATTTAGTAGTCCTATATGCTTGCAATCCTCATGTAGCTTCTGACACCCCAAACACTTATTCTAGTTATTTTGGGCTCTACGCTGGATACTTGCGAGAGCCATTGATTTTGGGACTGCGATATTTGCAGTGCTTGTGAAAGGAGATCTCGCGGAAGGCGTTGAAGGTATGAAGGCCAACGCTGATCCTGAAAGAACGCCAAGCCTAGACCCTAAGCCTATAAACTCTAGACTTACGCGGGGCTAGTAGGGAATAAGGGAATATACTATACAGGGATTGTACAGGGATGATATCCCCTTATTACCTACTAACTGCCAGTAAGTAAAGCCCAAGCCAGAAACCCTAAGACATCAAGCAGAACCTCAAGCATCGACCCTTACCCAATTGATTCTGAACTCTAACCTCAAGCACTAAGGGTGTAGGGTTTAGGGCTTCTAACCCTACATCCCACCAAGCTCCCGTTCACCTATTTGTTCGTGACGCGCTGCGATATCACAGACGCTTACTTCGACCAGAGGCAGATAAGTCATCCACTGCCGCTGTTCCTTGAGTCGCTGCGGCACTACCCGTATCCTGATTGCCTTTAGGAGGATGCTACTGCAGATGTGGCAAATCTTGCGCAACCAGCCCTTGTATGCCCAAAGCACTAGAGTCACTAGAGGTTGATTGGCGTATCTGGAGGATCCTAATTCAGTGCTGCAAGATTTCCCCCATCCATCATGCGTCCCCCTCATGGACGCCTTTGCATTATCCTGGCTCTAAGCTGGACTTACTTGGGAGTTTTCCAAAATTAGGGGGACCATTTTAGGGGTCCCCATAATAAGGACTATAGTATATTGGGGTCTATATTGGGGACCCCTTATTCTGGGAAACTACCATTTTGAGGGACCCTGGAGTCAAGTGATAACTTTTGGCCCCTTGGTGAGCCCAGTATAACCCTATTGCTATACTGTGTAGGTTACCTAAACCATTCGTGGGCCCTGGGTTCCAGAGAGTACCCCATCTGCCGAGAGGAAAGATCGGTCTCTTCGGCGGCGCGGGCGTGGGAAAGACAGTCCGAGATCTCAGTTGCAGGCCACGTAGCTTTGTAACGTGAGCCCTAGTCTAAACTCCTAGTATCCCCCTTAATAATGGAGAATCAAATGGAAAAGAAAATGGAAAATGAAATGGAAACTGCTATATATTATAGGGTTATGTAGGGGATTAT